TGGTTGTGGAAAGTCAGAAACGAAAATATATGTGTGTAAATCTTAGTGGTCTCCCCCAAGTTAATCTTACCAAATAGATGAAGCATAAGATTACTGCCATAGATCCCATATCTCCTGCCTTGATAAACTGCCACACAACAGTACACACAATCCTGGTGAGAAGACTGAAAGCCAAAAAATGGCTTTTAGGAGACGCCAGCTGCTAAAAATGGATTTAATTCTCCAAGGAAAAATTGTTTGACAATCTGTAATGCAAAGAACAGATCTTAAACAGTGACATTTGATATTCTCTTTGTCTCCTTTTTAGATGACGAAGAGCATGAATGGATCGTTCGGACCTGCCGGAAAGGTTGAGATAAAATAGCTGGAAATAAATCTAAACTATGAAAACAGCTTTTTGCTAGATTATAATATTACAAAGTAGGTAATTTGATTCATGATAAGTCTAATTTGTCCGTGTAGATTTATATCACTTTTTCCCTCTATGGGAATATCATCTTTTCTGTCATCTTTGTCAGCTTAAACAAAAATGGAAATAATCATTCAATCAGTCATTCTGAAAAAGAAAGCCAGGAAAAAAAAAAAAAAAAAAGCAAGCAGACTGTACTCATAATAATATTCCCGAGAGGTGTGCAGTGTAGTATACATACACATTATTAAGCCTGAAAACAATTTGTTAAAAAGAGTGCCTCAAATTCAATGTCGAAGTCATTCAAATCCATCTTAATCAACATTATTTTCCCAGATTTTAGTTAGCTGTCCTGGTGAATTCCTTTCCTCTCTTTTTGCTCAGTACTTTGATATTGATTGATCATTGTAATAATGTACACCAGAGGTATTCTTTAATGACTGGTTTGCTAACTAGGAAATTATATCCATTTACTACGAACGTTTGTTGAACTCTCCTGAAGCCAGAGTTTAACAAAATAATAAAAGAGGAAAACTGGGTGGGTTGCTGCTTGATTAGTAAGCCAGAAAGTATTTAAAAATAAAATAAAATGGAATTACATCATTTTCTGGATGTAAGTGCCAGCACTTCTACTTGCATTAACTTTATTTATTACACAAATAAGACATTTACAAAGCACAACATTAAAAGTATGTAACAAAACAGACATTGGTTTTACAAAAAAAGTGCTTACAATTTAATTTTACTTTTTTTAAAATAAATATTAGTCTTGACCATCCACTCATTCAGAGAATTTTTTAACCATTGTAGCCAAGACACGTATAATTGCAACATGCTACAACAAAATGATTGGCTGACGAAATAAAATTGACATGTCTCTAATTGGCATCATACAGCTATATCACCGAGAGTAGTGCAGGATTGAGTCCCACTCCCCCGTCCCCACTAAGACGTTGTGTAAGCACCTTTAGCTAGGGCATTGGGGTTAACCAGCGTGAGCCAAGTAATAATAATAATAATAAAAAAGATAATAAAACTGTAAACCATTCCACTTTCAGACCCTCACCATATTTAATTACCATATTAAATTTGAGTGAAAAGCCTTTCATTGGCTATCTTCATTGGATTTGTCTGCAACAAAGTTTCTGTAAATAGCAACTGGAAAAGTTGAATACATAGAGTCCTCATTACTTCCCCAAAATCCATTTGGCAATTACTGAATAACTAAGAAAATGAGTTTTTTTTTTTTTTTTAAATCTATACACAGGAGATGAATGCAAATGACCTGAGATAAGGTTTGGTTCAGTGGCAACAGTCAGTGTGAAATGTGCTGTGAAACAATGTACTGAATAAATTAGAGGATTTCTTACATTCTTGGTACAGTGGAGTATTTTCCATACGTATAATTAGCTCTAAAACAGCACAAGCTGAATTGCTTCCAGTTTTTGTGAACAATTTGGGCTTAATCTAAACAGAGCCTGATTTGTGAATTAGCAAAGCTGCTCCTGGCTCCTTGCAGGGGAAAGTGCCCCTGAGCCCGGCTTGTGCCACCGCGAGGGATCCCTCTCCCATTGCACGCATTTGGTCCGAAACATTCGCTTTACCTCAGCCCCGCRCTTTGCACGCTGCCAGTGGCATCATTACAAAAACCCTTTGATATACAGTACATTTCACAAGCGTGGGGTTTTTTTGTTTTTATCAGTAAGTTGCTATTTAGCAGACAGATACAGACTCCTTTCATTGTACTGCTGAGACAGAAGACAAACGCATCAGACCGTTTGCTCCGTCAGCAAAACGGCTGTGGAGATCTCGAGCAGCGCGGGGTGCGGGTCGCATCACAGCCGGGCGCCCCGCGGAAACCTCCCCCAGGGGCTCCCCGTTAGTTCAGAGCACTAATCCCACAACTGGACAATCACTGCAACACTCGAGAACAAACGGAGGAGAAAGTTGGGTCCTGGTGACCCCGCCAAGCACCTTCAGCTTCTCACCGCCCTTTCAAGCGGCCACAACCACCACCACAGCCTGGCCATGATCGATACCGACCAGCAGCATGCTCTGCTACCAGCCTYTTGCTCATTTCTGTAGCCAAGGAGCAAAGGGACCAAACTGGATGCCCCTTTGAACTCATCTCTCCCCAAAGGGACGCTCCTGGAGCGTGGGTCCGGGCAGACCGTGGCTGCAGGAGCCTCTTGTCATGGTTTGCACACATCGGAAGCAATCCCTTGCCTGTCAGGAGGTGACAATAATACATCACAGGCCTAATTTCCTCCCTGCTTTGGAATATCAGTTTAAATAGGGGGACAGAGCTGCTAGCTGCTTGGTGCAATTAGGCAGAATACTGGACTAACTGCCCAAACCACTACCATCACTGCATATATATATATACATATGTGTGTGTCTATATATATATAAATATATTATATATATATATATACACATACACACACTCACATGTATATATTTATATGCACAATGTATTTAGCCACTTTGCAGATGGAGAGTAGCACCTGGACCCAGCTCCTGCTCTCCCTGCGGCTACCTGCGCTTGCCGTGGCCAGCGCGTGGCCGCCCGTGCTTGCCGTGGCCAGCGCGTGGCCGCCTGTGCTTGCCGTGGCCAACCTGCCCGGGAAGGGCTTCCCCTGCCTGAGCACCGCCAGGCTACAGCAGCGGGACGGCCGCCCGCCCGAGGTCCATCCAGGATCCCCTGGAGACAACCACGCGCATATCCACAGCTCGAGTGGAAAACAAGTTATGTAACCGGCGGGTTCCCGTCTCCAGCTCCTCACACGCCGCACTCCCGTCACACACCCTTGGAAGCRCCACCTCGCAGGCATGGAGCAGCTGGAGGCCCGCGTGCTTGCATGGAGAGAGGGCTGCTTACGGAGCTAGTCTCGGCTCGAGCAGGGCTGGCAAAGGCTGCTTGTTTACTTTTTGTTATTACCGTCAATGAAGGATCATTGCAGGGCTTTTTTCCTGAGCTGGGGCCAGCGTGCCGAGTACTTCCTTAGCCTGCACCGCCTGCTCCCCGGGGCGCGCGGCTGCGCCCTGCGCCTGCCCAGCGCCGGCCCGCGCCGCCACGGCGGGGCCGCCTAGCGCCCGCCAGTGCCAATGCCCGCGCCCGCAACGCCTGCCCGGACTCGGGCAACGCGACTTTTTCTTTCTTTTTTTTTTTCCTTTTTTTTTTTTTTTTTTTTTTTTGTAATAAGAACATCAAATAAAAAAACCAAACAAAAGCCCCGCAGTGTGGACGTGGTGCCTGCAGCGGCGGCTCCGCGCGCGACCCTCGCAGGGGTGGCGGGCCCGGGGCGGGGGGCAGCGCCCCCTGCTGTCCGGATGGGGCGGGGGGCGCGGAGGGACGGTGCCGGTCACAGCCCCCTCCCCAGTGTTTGCAAGCCTCGCACTAGCCTCGTTTGCACACCCATTTGCACGCCTTGCACACCCGTTTGCACACGCATTTGCACACGCATTTGCACACTCATTTGCACGCCCATTTGCACGCCCTGCACGCCTGTTTGCACGCCTTGCACACGCACTTGCACACCTTGCACGCGTGCCCGCCCTCGGACCCCCTCCATGCCCACGCATANNCGCCTCCATCGCCCCCGGCTCCTGCCCTGCCTCTCGCCGCAGCACTTGCTGCTGGGGTCCCTGCCGCAGGGTCCGCGCCAGGGCAAGCGCTTCTGTGCACCCAAGGGCCAGCGTGCCCTGGGGATGCCCCAGGCCTGGCCGCTGTGCAGCTAAGGGTCCTGCAGCCACCCAGTTGTGATCCAATACCCACCCAAAGAAATAAAGTAGCTTGTTAATAAGATAAAAGAATAAAAAAATGAGGATTTGGCAGATGGCTGTGAGACGAGAGATATATTCAGTGCTCTGAGAACGAGTTGGCAATCAAACTGAATGCTCAGCCTGACTTCGCCACCAACCCCCAGTGTCCCCTTCAGTCTGGGACATCTCGGGTTCCCCTCTTACAAAATGGATGGGGAGGGAAACCCTAAGATTTACTTACCTTGCAGAGTGAGCAAAGGACATGTGGATCTAAAGCACTTTGAGGAAGGAACTGCCTATTTCCAGCGCGCTTCGTGGTTTCCACTTAGTGGAGTCACAGCTCCAGTGCATTTGGCTCGGGAAGTTCTGTATCTGTGTTAAGCTGCTAAGCCAAAGAGCCCATCTCATATTCACCCGTGCGAGTGCAAGGAAGGAGGGATGTCCTGGAACCAGCAGCGCTTCACTGGTGCAAAAGAGAATCAGGCCAAACCGCATGAATTCCTCCTCTCCTGGGCTCGAGTGGCGGTCATCAAACCCCCCGGGCCTCGGCATTTTGTTCGTTTTCCCGTGGTTTCGGAAACAAGATTGTAAGCACAGTAGAGTCACTAATTTCGACTGCGTCTGGCATTGCCTTGGAGAGACTCACTGTCATTCTACAAGTCCACAAGAAACAAGTGAAAAATGTAACTGTGCACTCAAAACACACATACACAGAGTGTCGCTGGAGAAATAATAGTGGCTGTTGGATGCTGGTCAATGGAAACACCCGAGAACGATGGATTTGAGTTTCTCCTGCATGACTGATCGCAGTTGCCTTGGACTGGACACTGTATGTCAACGACTGAGGGGCAGTGGTGCTGGTAGCGCCATGGACAGATGAGGAAGAGTTCGCGCAGTCAGTACTGAAAGAGGATGACCTGGTGGGAAAAACACGAATTGAGCATTAGCTACGTTAAAAAAGACACGCGAGGCGGGCAGGGGCTGCTAGGGAAGAGCAAGAGCAGCCCACGTGCCCGCTGCAGGCTGCCCCGTGCAGCACATCCCTCCTGCAGCCACTGCTTGCCTTGAGCCTCCTCCTCCTGCCCACGACTCACAGCAGCGCGAGCTCCACACACCACCCRTGGGAGGTCATTTAAGATGTATATTATCATACTTCATTAAGTGAGAGAGGCACCAACAGGCAGATACTTAGCTGTAAAGCTTGTATTATATTATACAACAATTTGYAACCAGTAATTGTTTGCTCTGCATTATCCTCTACAACAACTACCGAGACTATTGCCATCATTATCAAGTGTCCTTATCTGTACTCTCTTTGGTAACCATCACGTTTCCCTCAAACCATGGGTCCACCACTAATTGCTGCAATGAAGTTTGTTTGAACTAYAGAATCAGGACTAAGGCCATGGTGTTTTGGGTTTTTTTTAAATCTTGAGATTTTGCTTTGTAGATATCCTGATAAAATGGTAGCATTTAAACTGAGAAAGTAACTTTGCTTGTGCTTATCAAAAGAGAGTTCAATAATCTAGGTTGCTGCMCTGCTTAAAGACAGATCTGAAAAATCTGATAACTTCTAAAAGTAAGGATGGTAGCTAAAACCAAAAAGAATTGCCAAATGTTCCTTTTTTTTTTTTTTTGAAAAAGAAAAAAAAAAGCCACTTGAACTGGATTGCTAAATAATGTCTTCTGAGCCTGAGCATGCATATGCAGTTTCAGAAGTCTTTCCCAGAAATGAACTGTATGTTAGAGTGGAGAAACACTGACTGTTCAACAGAAACATATTGATATGCAGCAGTGTTTCCTAGCCAGGCATTGTGAAATAACATTTCTACTGAAGACCTTGTAACAGGCARTTGTTATTTTTTAAGCAATACTGGAATCCCCAAGAAATGTGTCTTTCATGTTAACTCCTGCAAACCTGGAGAGCGAGCACGCGACCACGGTGCCTGCTCGGGTATTAAGAGCCGCGTGGCGCTGGCAGAGGGTGCAGGGAGCCGAGAGGCTGAACTCGTGGCCACATGGGAAGCTCATGGCCATGCGGAAAGATCAAGAGGGTAAAGAAGAGTACAGGATGGAGGAGAGCAAAACACATCGAGGGATCCGAGCAGAGCATCTCGGCATCTCCCACCAGCGAGGAGCTTTTGGTGGAGAACAAACGGGTGGCAGTTTTATCAGCAGCTGGGACACCAGKCTAGGGGCACCAAAACAAAGCAAACACAAACTGCAGAAAGCTGCTGAGATTACCGAGGACTGGTAAAGTGGTCACAAGGAGGCAGCTGCGTGATATGAGAAAATCCACAGCTGAGGTTTGAGCCCGGACGCGCCAGGGCGGCCGCGGTTACCTTCTCAGGCCGGCTGGAGAGCGGCCCCTCCATGTCGGCTTTGAGGTGCACGGGCGGCGCGGTGTAGGGCAGCCTGCAGTGCACTTGCCCGCACTGTACCTGACCTGCGGGCGAGAAGAGGCTGCAGCCTCCTGTCCCCCGCCGGGCTCCCAGGCCCGGGGCAGACAGGACRCGCTGGAGAGGAGGACGTTCAGCAGGGGCTGCGGCCCATGCGGTTGAGTGGGGAGCCTCCGAGGCCCCATCGCTCCAGCCGGGCAAGCCAGCAGGGACCAACGCCACCCCCGCTTGGCTCCCCAGCTCAGGCAGTTATTAGAAAAAGCAGCTGGGGTCTAGCAAGGAGGAAGGAGAGCACCTGAGCAAGCTAAACAAGGCAGTTGATGCCCATTGTCCATGACAAAGGGGAAGGTAAGGAGGAGTAAGGGCCCATAACAGAAACCAAAGCGGTGGCTTCCCTAGGGATCCTAAGGCAGGGGCTGGGAAACCCCCTTCGCCCCTTCCCCTCCTGCTGCTGCTTTTCTTCCTGAGGACATCCCAGGCAATCGGCCCTTCAGAAACCCCCAAAGGATGAGGTGAAAACTCCACCCATGAGAAGGTGGTAGAGTTTTCCACCAGCGCAGTGCGGAGCGGGACCCCGGGATCCTGTGGCCCCAGCCCACGCTGCAGAGTCCCTGCTGCAGCCGCCCTCCCTGCCCGGCCGCCCTGCTTACTTTCTATGTAGCCRTGCAGCGTCACCATCCTGGCCCTCTCCGGGCTGCTGAACGGGGAGTAGTGGATGTCGTCGGGGAGCGAGGAGGGGATGCGGGACGGGGGCGCTCCGGAGGGCGGCACCGTGTGCTGCGGCGTGTGTTTTTTATGGCGCGCTCGGCAGTTTTGAAACCAAACCTGAAACACCCAGAGGAACGGCTGCTAACTGGGCCGAGAGACCGTGCACCAAGACCCCAAGATGATGCCGTGGCCAAATTCGCAAAAGGAAATCAAATACCTCCCTGCTCATCCACGACCAGACAGAGCTCCGTCCAGGTTCTCCCTTGCAGGACTAACGCGGGCTTAAGGGACTTGGACAGGTCTTACATGGGCTGTACCCCCAACCTCAGCTAGCCCAGGAGCCCAGCCCCGACCAGCTGGGCAACATGTGAATAGAGATGGGACAAGACCAAGKGACATAAAACCAAGGAAAGGCTCAGACTAGGAGAAACTATAACTTAAGGGAAGATGATACTGATGTCATGTTAACCAGTGATGTTTTATCCCATCAAAAATTATGTCAGCACAACATTAAAGCAGAGAAGTGAGGTACCAGGTCATAACACACAGACCTATTTCAACCAACTAGTAAGAGCMTTCCCATCAAATCTCACTCCTTTTAATTAGAGAGTAGTTGGGGGGTCCACCTGAGGGTTAAAATGTGTGCAGTTCAGTTGTTCTACTGCTTTTTGCTCTTTTCTCTCATGTGCCCTCATTTCTGAGGATAGCGGCGAGCGGCCGCGTTGCACTGCACACCTGCAGCGCTCCTGCAGCGCGTCAGCAGGACAGCAAAGGGGGGATTGCAGCTGCAACGGGGCCAAAGCAGCGGCGTCCGCGGGACCCGCCTCACCTGGATGACCCTGCGGCTGAGCCCCGTCATGTCCGCGAGCTTCTGCAGCGTCTGCGCGTCGGGGTTGTTGTCCTGAGCGAACTGAGCCTGCATGACCTGGCGGCAGAGGCCGAGGCGGGCGGTGAGGCCGCGCGTCGCTGCCGCGCGTCGCTGCCGCGGCCGCCCCCGGCCCCGCTACCTGCAGCTGCTCGGCCGTGAAGGAGGTGCGCGCCCTCTTGGCGGGCTTGGGCTGGCTGTCCTGCTCCGAGGGCACGGCCCCCTCCAGCGTGAGCCCGTTGCCTGCGGAAGAGACGCGGCGATCGCGGCCCCGCGGATGCAGCGGCGACGGCAGCGCCGGGCGCTGCAAACCCGAGCGCTGCTGCTGCTCCTACCCGAGCGCAACAGGAGGGATGGGCTGGCATGGAGGGGCTGTCGGGCTGCTGCACGGGGCAGCACCCGGCCCGGGGAATTGGGTGTTGGGTGCGGCGCGAAGGCAGGCGGCTCCACAGCAGCCTCGCGCCCGGCACGGGGCTGCAGGAAGCACCGCGAGCGGCGGGCGGGAGCCGCCGGCCTTGGCCGCAGCGCAAGGGGTTCTCTGCAGCTTGACTCGTTCCCCTCGGATGATGGATGGGGCTCTGGCTTAGGCAAGGGCTGTTTATTTTTCTTGCATGTAAAGCATCACGTGCCAGAGCAATTGCTGGGGAATTGGGATGGGGGAGAAGCGCGTGGCCCCCAGCTCCGCAGCCAGCGCTGCCCTGGGGGCCCGGGAGCCTCCTGTGACACTTTGGGCACCGGCTGCCTTGCGCCTCCCTAGCAGTGCCCGTTGGCTCCTTCCCTCCGCCGGTTGCTGATCCCCGACCACAGACTGGGCCGTGGCAGCCGCCCGCCCAGACACCCCGGCGGGAGAGCCCCGGCCCCCTTCTCGGCAGCAGCGTGTGCTGCTGGGGGCTTTCACTCTGAAGCCTAATGACAGTCATGCGATGTCAATGCTCTGATGACATCAAGCACTGGCACCTCCAGCTGCCATGGGGAGCGCAGGCTGCCCCACGACTCCCCAGGACAGCGAGCGCCGCTGGGAGGCTCTTCTGTGGCACCCGGGCAGGCCCGTCCCCAAGGAGGGCAGAGCTGTGAGCTGCAGCCACGGGGCAGGATTAGCCCCTCGGCAGCCCCACGCGCCGGCACCTCCGCGGCCCCGTACCGTTCTCCGCCGCTCGCTTGAGGTTCTCGATCATGGTGTCGTAGTGGATGCGGCACAGCACCTTCTCCTCGACGAGGCCGAACTCCTCGCCCGTGGAGAGCTGCCGCTTGCAGGAGAAGCAGGCGAAGCAGGCGAGGTGGTAGGCGTTGCCGCGCGCCCGGCGCACCCAGTCGCTGGCGTAGATCTGCCGGCCGCAGCGGGCGCACTTGGTACCGAAGCGGCTGCGGGAGGAGAGGAGAGGAGAGTCGGGATGAGAGGGGATCTGGCCTGGGAATAGGGGCCCATGGGACAGGGATGCACCACGCAGCAGAGTTGTGCATTGCATGGGACAGGGATGCACCACGCAGCAGGGCTGTACACTGCATGGGAAAGGGATGCACCACATAACGGGATTGTGCATTGCACGGAGTGGGGATGCACCACACAGCGGGGTTGTGCACAACAGGACAGGGCCGAGCACCGCACACCAGCAGCCTGGCACCAAGGCGGGCAGGAGAGCGCTGAGGTCCTGTGGCAAAGGGAATCGCTTTCCAAATTTGCAGGCTTGTAATTTTTAAAACTGCCAACTTGACACTGGGCTGAAAATATTCGAGCGTCTTTTCCCAGTTCCAGTAAATCAAAACATGTGTTTTCTGGCCGGGCGCATGGAGGTGGGCGCTGCTGCTCCCGCGCACGGGGCTCCTCGCGCCGAGCTCAGCCCTGGTGTGTGTGCTAGAAGGTTGCTCAGCGCAACGAAGCGGCACCGAAGCGCCAGCTCTTCCCGGAGCCTTTTCTGCGGCTTCTGAGAAAATCTGAATTCCAAGTCTATGGCGAACACACAGGCCCATCCAGCTCCTCTGCACACATGCCTGCACCGCGAATTTTTTTTATTACCAGCATTTAGAATAAATAAATTAAATGGCATCTAAGCCGCAGCGGCAGTGCAGGGCACAGGAGTGCAGCACCACAGAGCTGTGCGGAGGCGCCGCGGCCGCTGCCATTGCTGGCTGCAAAAGCCGTTTGGAGGAAGACAGGGATGGGATTTTCAGTCTGACCAGCAGCCACCCAAAAAGGAAAAAGAAAAAGGAAAAAAAAAAGAAAAAAAGAAAAAGTCAAAAAAGGCAGCTTTAGAGAAAACATTTCTGTGCTGAAATTACACAGAGACCCCTCTCCGAGCCCTCGCTAATTCACTTCAGATGGGAACGCCGCAAGCCCGTGTGCGCCAAGCACTTAGTGCACGGCAGCTCTTCGAGCGGCAGCGCCGGTCGCTGCGAGCGGGCRGCTTCGAGCAGCGCGGGCGGCCTCGAGCAGCGCGGGCGGCCCCAGCCCTCGGCCGGTGCAGGCGGAAGGGCCGGCACGCGGGAGCTGCAGCCGCAGTAGTGCCGGAGCCGGAGCCGGAGCCGGAGCCGGGCTCCCCTGCCCCGGGGAACGGTGGCCGAGCCGCACGGGAGCCAGCAGCGGGTCATGCCAAGGGATGGAGCCTTCCTGGTCTCGTGAGCCCGACTGCCCTCGGCCAGGGACATGCAGCCCAGCCCGGGGACATTCGTCCAGAGTGAAATGCCGTGAGCGAGGGGGACTGGTGCGTGGCAATCACGGCCAGAGCTGGAGCTGCTGCCTCCCCGGGAAGGGAGCGGCTCCCGGCCGGAGCAGCCCTGCCGGTGCCGGGATGCTGCAGCTGGGAGCAGCGGGGAGGGAGCCGCCTCTTTCAACGGTGCCAGCGGCAGCGAGGGGGAACATTAGGAACCCACCCACAGATGGATCGTCCTGCAGGGAACCGGCTCCCGCAGCCCAGCCCGGGGCCACCGCAGCTCACGGCGCCGTCTGTGCCCTGCCGGGCAGCTCCGCAGCCAACGGCTCCTCCACGTTTGGAGCGGGGACCATGAACAGTGCAGGAGGCGGCCGGGCAAAGCACCCAGCGGGCCCGGCACCCAGCGGGCCCCAGTGTGCACGGGCGCAGAGCTGCGCATGGGGCAGCGACCAGCACAGCATCACGCAGGCAGCTCCGCACCCAGCCCCAGGCGCAGCCACAGCCCCTGCCGGGCACCCGGCTCCTCCGCGAGCACCGCGGCCCCGGGCACCTCCGCTCTGCCCGGCGGGCAGCGCAGCCCAGAGCCCATGGGGGCTGCAGGTCCCGCTGGCTCCAGCCCCTGCGGCTCCAGGAGAAAAATAATAGGAGCCGGGGCTCTAAAGAGCCGCGGGCTGCCCAGGGTTGCTACAGGGCTGAGGCTGAGGWGCCGGACTGCGGAGCCGCCCCTGTCCCAGGCAGCCTAGGTGCCCTTCCAGAAGGGACAGGGGGGACAGGGATGCCCAGAGAAAGGGAGAACCGGGGGGAGCAGAGTGACGGGCCCCGCAGAGCTGCCGCCCGGCGCMGGGGACACACAACACACACAGCTGCGGGGATCCTGCCACCGCCGGAGGCCGCGCGCACCCCGCGCATCCCGGCGCCGGCTCCGCGCACCCCACGCATCCCAGTGCCGGCTCCACATTCCCCGTGCAGCGCAGGACGAGCCGGGCGGTGCCGCGGAGCAGCCCCAAGTGCAGCGCCCATCCCCGGGGCACCAGTGGACAGCGAAGTCCCCCCGCTAAGGGGCATTCGTTTCCTGCGGGGAGCCCGGAGCGCGTCCTGGTGTTGCTGCCTCCGCTCGGCTTCRCGCCACGGCGCCGCTCACACCGGGCAGCAATTGCTGCGAGCGATTCCTGCCTCCCTCCATGCGTCTGTCCGGGGGCTACACGCACACAACGGTGGCACCTCGGCCGGGGCGGGKGTCTGAATTTGTAGATATTTCCCTCCGGCCCAAATTTGTTCTCTGTGTTTCTCAAAGGCACCTGGAAGGCTCTGTTTTTCTGAGGAGCACTCGGAGCACTAATACCACCGCAACGGTTATCAGCGACAGACACACGCCACAAGCGCCCCGAGACAGCCCCCCGCTACTAAACACTAAGCCCAAGCTTGGTGCAGGCACCGGGGACTATTTGGGGAAATCACCCCAAATTACAACAGTTTTCCCCAATAGCCCCCAAGGCAGCGGCACCCGGCAGCGGCGGGTGGGAAGGAGCAGCCCCTGCCGCGCCGGGGTGGCCGGGACGGTGGCAGCGATGGGAACCCTCAGGGCRCAGCTCCCCTCCAGCCCCACTGCACGTGGGGGGCCAGCAGCCGCCCCCCAGCCCCGGGGGAAACGAATCCGCCGGCGGCGCGAGTGCCCGACACGAGCGCCCAGCGCGAGTGCCCAGCACTGCCCGGCCCCGCTACAGGAACGGGGCCGGGGGGACCCCACAGCGCCGGCTGCAGCCCCCGCACCTGCATCCCCACAGAACCAGGATGGCACCAGGGCACCTGGCAATAAAATGACCATGGAAACTCCAGCCCATTCCCTTCTTTTTCTTGGAGCACGGCACCCCGCGGCAATATTTTTCCTCAACCCCCCAGAAACCTCTCCCTAGGGGCAGGTGGCCCCTGCGCCCGCCAGGGTCACTCTCATTTCCTGCCTCCATTTCCCTGCTCCTCCCAGGACAAACGAGATGTCCCTGCGGTGCCAGGCTGGGGGCACCGGGGGCTCGGGAGCAAGGGCGGCCCCAGCCCAGGGCTCCGGAACCCGCCGGTCCCAGCCTCTCTTTGGGGGCAATTTCTGTGGTTTGAGGTTTCTATTTGCCAGAGAAGGGGGAGGTGGCTGCGCCGCTGGATCCCACTGCTCTCCACAGTGCCCGGGCAGCCGCACACCCTCATCCTGGGTGCCCCGGGCTCTGCCCCACGCCGCACACGGCGGCTCCTGCAGTTTGTTTCCGCTCTTTAACATACTACCACCCGTGCTCGGTGTTTGCAGTCCTGCATCTCGGAAAGGGTTTATTTTCAAGCCCATGCAGCACTCCCACCAGCTCCATAGCTATCTACTCGCTTTGGGAAAGCTGGAACGCCGCTGCCTGACAGTCACCGCGGGCAGACGCGGCAGCACTCGCAGCCTCCCCGTCGCCCCGCGCTCCAGTCCGGAGCCACTCGCATGGAGCCAGGGGGGAGCTGGGGACCCCCAGTGTGGCTGGGTGCACGGGACACCAGGCCCAGCTCCTTCCCCCAAGTCCCCCAGCTCCAGAGTTCCCCAAGCTGTCCCGACTCAACATCCGAGCACAGCACGCACAGAGGAGCGAGTGCCGGGCCCCGCGGAGCCGCCCCGGCCGCACTCCCCATGCTGGGCTCTGCCGCAGCCCCGGCCCTACCTGAAGTAGTCCATCTTGCAGAAGATCTCCTTGTTCTTGATGTAGCAGCTGTGCTGCTGGCGCAGCGACGTGCGGCACACGGAGCACTCCAGGCAGCGGACGTGCCAGATGAGGTTGTTCACCTGGGGCAGAGAAGGGGCCGGCTGAGAGACGGGCTCCTCGGGTCCCCCCGGGTCCCCCCCGCCGCGGCCGCTCACCTTGAGCAGGTACCGGTCGAGGATCTCGAGCCCGCAGCTGGAACACACGTTCTTGCCGGCCGACGGCGTGGACGAGGAGGAGGACGGYGGGGAGCAGACGGACGGTGTGGACGGGGTGCTGGGCGCCGAGCGGGCCTCCTCCTTGTCCAGGGCACCGGGCAGCGGCTCCGCGTCGGGCTGCGACTGTGGGGACGTCGCGGCGGGGCTGAGACGGGGCCCGGCCGCGCCCGGCGCTTCCCGGCAGAGCCCGGCGGGCGCCCCCGAAAGCCCCGGAGCAGCCCCGGCCCCGGCGGCCACTGGAGCCCCCGCGCCCCGGGCAGCCCCGGCCCGGCTGCTCCCGGCGGGTCCCAGCTCGACGAGCCCCGCAGCCCGGCGGCTCCGGGAGCCCCCGCAGCCCCGGCGGCTCCCAGCCCGGCCCCGCAGCCCCCGCAGCCCCGGCCCCGCTTACCATGGCGCGGCCGTGCGGGTCGAGGCAGCGGCTCCCCTTGGGCAGCGGCTCCGGCGGCATCACCTTGCGGGAGAGAGCAGGAGAGGGAGGCTGCGGGCGCCGGGCGAGCCCCGCAGCCCTATATAAACCGCCTCAAAACAATAAATAAGAACTTTCTAGTGGCCATTTAAATCCTTTGCAACAAAAGCTGCGTCTCTTTAATGAAGCAATTTGAATGTGGATTGAATTCTCTCCCTGGCTGCACTTAACCCGGGCCTCTTGAAGTAATCGCTCGGTTCCCATGCGAGCCAAAGCGCTGAAAAAACCCCACAAACTACCTGCAATTAGAAATTGCCGTAAATGCCCGAGATAAGAGGTACCCAGAGTGTCAATTCCGGCTGTCAATCAGGGAATCCATCAGGCCACCCAAAGAATTGCAAATTTGATTTTTTTTAATGGTAGTAATTAAAAATCGAAATTCTTCCCCCCTCTCCGCGCGCCGAGCACAAAACGCCCCAGAAAGCGCCGGGATGGAAAATCCTCCCCTCGGGCGCGGGAGGCGGCCCCGGCCCCGGCCCCGACGGCGGCGCTCACCTCGGCCGGGGCCGCCCGCCCTGCCGGCTCCGGTGCGCGGGGCGGGCGCGCTCCGAGCCCGCGGGCGGCCGCGGCAGGAAGGGCGGGAGCGCGCGGCCCCGCTCCGCGCCGGGGGCGGCCGCGGGCCGGGCAGGAAGCGGCGCCCCCCCCGCCGCGCCGGGGCCGCCCGCCCCGCCGGGCCCCGCTACCTGCGGCGGCGCCCCCGGGCCGGGCCGGGGCGGGGGGGGTCCCTGCTCGCCCCGACGGGGCGCCCGGGCCGGCCCCGCTGCCCGCCCGGTAACCCGAGCGCTCCCCGGCAGCCGCGCGGTAATTGCGGGGCCGTAACGTGAGCCGGCGGGGGCCGCGGATGGATCCTCGCCCTTATCGACTCTGACAGCTAAATTGGGCGGGGGGGGCGGGGAGGAGGCGGACGAGGCCCCGGGCTCAAGCACGGAGCCCGACCGACCCCACGCGCCGCGGCCCCGGCGCAGCCTGCGGGGAACACGGAGCGGCCGCCGGAGCCCGGGCCGGCCCCGGGGCACGGCGCAAACCCCCCGCGCGCAGCGACGGCCCCGAACGGCCCCTCGTGCTGCAGGAGCCACGGGGAGGCCCCGTGTCAGCGCCGGGGCTGTCGCTGCCTCTGCRCCGCAGCCCGGGGCTTTTCCAAGGTGTTTTAGGGTGGTCGCTGCTAGAGCCCCGGCGCTGCCGCTCCTGCTGAGCGGCACCGGGCGTTCAGAACTCCCCTCCACCCGGACACGGTGCTGGAAGCTCCCGCGTTTTGCTCCATTAGCRGCAGCCGAGGGGACGCGGGGCCTTCCAGGAGCCCACGGCTCTCCCGGGAAGCGCACGGAGGGCGCAGGGGCCCAGGCCACTGGGGACGGCAGGGACAGGCACCAGCACCGGTCTGAACCGCGGCTGCCCCGGATCGGGTCCCTGCAGAGCTGTCAGGGCCAGGGCAGAGCAGGACACGGTCCCCATGCACCCCGGGAGCCACCAGCAAAGCTGGGCTCAGGCTGAGCCTTTAGCAGCTCTCAGTGCCTGCTCGTTACCCTCACTGTCCTGGAAGAAAAAAATGTATTTTGAACATTTATTTAGAGCTGTAAGAATATAACAAGTTGTATTCAAGTACAAATAAATATCAAAGCATTTCTGAAGGGGACACAACCACCTACCAGGCTCGATTTCCTAAATTCCTATAGGAATAACAGTTTTAAACACTACAGATACAAATGCCCACAACCACAGGTGTTAAACCAGGTAAGAACAACAAAACACAGGCTGTTCGGAGAACGTAAATGGGTGTAATTGGCATTTGCAGGGGTACAGACTGCAAGGGATACAAGCTTTCTCTTTAGGCAGGTACCTAAAGAGGTAAATGTTCTGCAGCAAGAGACCCCCTTTATTCAGCTCAGGCTTTTAGCAGCCCRTCCATCACACAGATGCAGCGCTTGGCTCAGCCATGCAGGTGGGAAGTGGGGACAGGCCAACAGTTCTGCTGATTTTGTTAAACGCTGCTTTGCTGAAACGTGGCAACACCCGTGCGGGGAACCCAGGGGCTGCTTAAACACGATGCTCTCCTCTGAGGCCACCAGAAGGACTTGAGCGACTAATGGGTCACTCGAAGAAATCAGATCAGTTTCGCTCGGGGAAATGTGCTGGCCAGATAATTTAAGCAACATGCTATCCCCTAGGCTTGTGAATTGAACACCTCCTGGGACAACCTTTGCCATCAGGCAGTGCCATTCCAGCACAAACACGTGTGCCACTCCCGGGGCACCAGGGAACGGCAGCAGGCAGCAAAGCGCCGCAGCGGCGCCGGGCAGGGAGTGGAGGCCGCGGCCATGCGCAGGACACTGCTCTGGGACAGCACTGCTCTTCTCACGGCGTCACAGCTGCTTCGTGAGGAACTGCCACCAAATGGGTTACTGACCGGGAACACCAGAAACTGCTGCACGGAGAGACCTCTGGGCGCAAAGTCACCGCTCCAGCGGGGAGGCCGCCGCTGTAGCCTCACTGACGGTGCCCATGTTGTGTCACGGCCACCTTCTTCAAGGAAGCAACCAAAAGGCAAAATGAATGTGCATAAAACTATTGCAAAAGCATTGTTGCTAGAATTATTGCAAAAATCCATTTCAAATGAGTTTTATTGAGATGAAAGAAAAAGTATTCCATGGTAACTACAGAATGTCACTCAACCAAGTGCCTCCCCTCCATTAAAAAACACAAAGTGGAATACCCTTTGTTTAAAAATACCTTAAAAAGTAATCAATTAACCCAAACATTTTGGATATGCTTTACTCCATACACTGGTTACTGCTTCTAGTCTCGCTACTGAGTGTGCACTAACAAGAGCTCGTCTGGGTGCTCGCCACGGGCTTTGAACAGAGCCCGCTGTTCTGGACAGCGTTCAGCTGAGAGCTGCACTGGCAACAAGGAGCACTGAGCAGATCACCTAAGGTGTCAATGCCACTGTGCCATACACAGTGGCACTGTGCTCAGGTGACAGTTTCCTTCTCACTATACAAAGTACAAAAGCGTTGCAAGATTCCAGGTATATAAAGCAGTGTTTCTTGCTACCATATCCACTCATAAGCATCATCTTCTGGATTTCCAGGCAGCTCTGGAATAAGGAGTAGTCCTTTTCTTATCTGGTGGTTTGAAGTAAGAATAAACAGGCGTCGTTGGAAATTCAGCATCTGGATTTTCCGCCATCATTTTCAACTTGGCTTCAATGGCCTTTATTTTTGCACTGACGCTGGAAAGGAAAAGCAGAAGAGAAATTGAGCTTGTTCCCAGCATGTAAGCAGGCAGAGTACAGCAATTCAGCTGCTTTTTGCGGGGGGCATCTGACTACTCGGTTACACCAGGAGTGCTAGGCAGCTCACGTCACTACCTTCAGCACAGTATGAAGCTGGGAAGCAGGAATCTCCTGCTTAAGGCCCACGTTCTCTCACAGGAGCATATATCTGCTTGGGGAAAGATCTTCCGAGATCCATCATAGTGCCACAAAATAACGGTTCTTGCTCCTACTCAGCATTTTCTTGAGGACTCTGAGCCAGATGAGCACACTAAAAAGCTCCCTGCTTCACGCAAAGTGATGTAATTGAAGGAGGTCTGAGCGCGCRCAGCGGAGCGCGGCTCAGACCAGGCTGCTGGAAACAGCCGAGAAATGAAAGCCAGACTTCCTCCGAGCTCAGCACTGCCTGGGATGGGAAAACCCCAGGCTCTAATTAGACCAGGAAGAAACATTATTTCAACATTACCAGAGTTYATCCCAAAGGGAGAAGCTATCCTAGGTTACACCCCAAATTCCTAGGACTTTTGTTATTAATAAACCTCTGAAGGGCACAGATGGAAGAACATTCCCTTCTCCAGTACAGATTCTTGAAGCATCCTTCCTCACTGAAACAACTCCTTTGTGCCAGTGATGGAGCTAATGATGTACATACAGACATACATACATACAACTCAAGTCTCTCCGCTCATTACTTTCTACTGTCAGCGTCACTTCTGATTTCCAAGCTTGTTTTCTCTGCAGGCAAATTAATTATCCTTGGTCCTGCTTCCTCACAGCATTCCCCCGACAGAATGCAGGGAAAATTCACATACCCTCTCAACAACCAGGGATACATGGTTCAGATAGCAAAGGAGTCGGGAAACTATTAAAGTATTACTGTGGATTTGTCTTAAGGTTTTACTGTTAACAAAGAAATCTTYACTCATAAACATTTTTGCTTAATCAAATTAGTACAGTGAAAGATTTTTACTTAGTATGGGATGGTTAGCAGAATTATCTACTTTTCTTTTAACAGCAAACCTCAATCTCTCTTACATTCCACCATTTCTGTTAAGAACTGGCTAGTAATTTTCTGAACTAGCGCTTTCCGACAGATGAGGAGAAAAGGCTCAGTTTCTTAACTCGACTGTAGATCTCATGAGAGGTAGGGATGTGTTTTTTCACGCCTTCTGAGACTGCTGCCTCCCTAGGCAGGCTGGTGCAATGCTTCTGCCACAACTGCTGGGAACCAGAGGCAAAACACCTCACTGAAATTGCTCTGAAGCAGCACACAGTGCATCTTGGTCACATGAGCTGCAGTCTTGCATGCTGCCAGTTCCTAATCTTACCTCTTTTCCTTTAAAAGTTCCAATGTTTCACCTATTATAAAACACACATCAAGTTTCCCAATCATCCCACATCAAATGAGTTGCTTTGCAGCATGCTGCCCTTTTAAAGTGCCCGTGGTTTTAGGTATTTAGCACATGGATAATGCCAGCTCTAGATTTTACTGAAATTCAGGCAGTTCATTCCCTGCCGCCCAGCATTTGGGCTCAGCTCACCTGCCCAGCCTCCTACCTGAGGTTAGACTGGGGTGGGTCCGTGCTAGAAGATGGCTCCAGACTGATGGGAAGAATCTTCTCATTTTTGTTATGATCATATCTCTGCAAGCAAGAAACCAAATATTAAAATACATCAGAATTACAAAGAAATATTTGCCGACAGATATGCTTTAAATTTGGATTAAAGTTTCCTCAGATACTGTGAGGCTTTTGCTAAGAAAGATTTTGGTAGTCATACACTGAAACAAGTCCCAATCATATTTGTTCCGTGCCAATACGGACTGCAGGCTCTCATACACACATTGCACTACAGATCCTTAAGCCTTACCACCCCAAGCTATTGCTTCCCACTCCCCTACTTCTAATGCACAAAGTAAAGATGTTTAAATTCAAGGCAAAATTACTCCACTGCACTGCTGTATCCTTTCAGAGATATTATGCAGAGTCAGTAGGTAACCCAAGTATTCAATTGAATAGAATTGTGCAGCGCTGGAATAAGAACTACACTGAAGAACAGTTAGGAACCATCCCCTGGGTACAGAAAGCAGCTTGTGAGTCTGTCTTCTCTGTGGGCAACCTGAACTATTCGCAGTGTTCAGCCTCCATGTTCCACCTGGCACAATATCAGGTTTGTTTTCCAGCAGAACTGCTCAATTTGACAGTGTCTGGTAAGTCTTGGCCGCTCGTCTTAAAACACAGTTCTGGTATTGCCTAAAATAAGCACTTGTTACAAAAGTCAGAGAGATTTGCACAGTTAAATCTTTCCCTTCACACGTTAGAAAGCGCCCTGCAAACTGGATGTGTTATTTACTCACGTCTTTGCCATACCCTGGCCTGCTGAGCACTGGGCTACCCTGCAGAAGTCCCAGCTGAGCAGACGCTCACTCCTCTGGCTGAAACTCCTTTTATGGCCTGATCATTCTCCAGGCATCCGGAAGCACGTGGCACTCTCATACTTACAGAGCTCCAGAAAACGGAGACTGGATTTACACAAGTTTGGATGTGCTGACAAGAGCCTGCAGCCCTTGAAGCCAATAATTAAAACAACATGGTCTCCTTTAACAGAAGTACCCGTTTCTTTAGTGGCCAAAACAAAGAGACCATCAGGCTTGATAAGAGAACGGGTCAAAAGCTGCACATTGGATAATCAATACAAGTAAAAGCCAACTACCCGCAGGTAAATAGCAGCGAGCAGCTGCCTGCAAGCCAGTGCTCTGGAAAGAAAATCTCTGAAGATCATTTTCTTTACCAAGTACTAGGTAGTAAATAACTGCAGGAGAGAAGAATGAGTTTCAAAGAAATCAACACATAAGATAGTATGGCTTAATGTAACATAAAAATAATTTGATAATTTATGCAATATGGTAATTAAAATATATTTTAGATGTGAAATATGTTGTTTTGAAAGTCAGAAATAATTAAAGCTATGTAGCTAAATTATAGCTACCACCTATGTGCTTTCACAAATGGAATAAAGTACTTGGTAACTGGAAATTTCAAGGCATCTCTTATCCACAAAGGGAACAATGTCAGAAAAACTCTTTTACAAAGGACATGTTCAAATTGTCTCTCTTTTTCCATGGCTGCTCCAGCAGTTCAGGTATGTGAGAGTTGTTTCCCAAGAACAGACTGAAATTTACCTTGCTTAAGCAGCAATTGATAAGAATTGTTCCTTGATATGATTTTTTTTTTTAAGTTTTTAATATTAAAAAACACGCCAACAAGCTTACCTTGACTTGTGCATGCGCCCACCGTACCACCAATTTCTTGGAAAGGGCCAGCTTCCCATTGAGACATTGGATCGCCTTCTCTGCTTCCTGCACAGGAAGACAAGTTGATAAACAAAACCAAGCTTCAGTCGATCCATCCGAGATCCAAAGGCCCTTTTTCCTTTGCCAGTCTTGTGCAAGTACAGTTAACTGCCAGCACTGACAGTTTATCCCATTCCATCCTCCTGGAGGCTCCAAGACTCACCTAACTGAAGTTTTTACAAACTAACAAGGTAGATTCTTTCACTTGGTGCAGGCAGGAAAYGGGGAAGATCATCGGGAGTTTTGGGAGGATCAAATGCTGGGGGCTCTGGCACAGYGTTCCAGAGGAGACGCGGGCTACGAGCACTTCTCTAGGAAACTCTGCGATTCACTGCAGTGATTCCATGTGTCAGTAACACCCAGCTGCAGGAATTGCTGCTCRCACACAGATACTGATGCAGACCCAGCAGCGGCCCCTCACTTTTGGGATGCTCCCCTGCTGCCCGTTCCACAGCGGTTACGTTGCAGCTCTGCTCCTCCTGGCACGAGCAATAGCTCCAGGAGAGCTTCGGGAACAGCAAGGGAACCGTGCTGCCCCACGGCTCTGCCTACATCCTTGTCGTCATCCCCTTGCAAAAGGCACAGGCACACGAGCACAAAAACACTGCTCTTCAGAGCTTTCCAACAATTTAGCAGAATTATAAGAAGTCTAGCTCTGATGCTACAGACCAGCACAATCTCACGCTTCGATTTGTAGCAAGAGCTTAACCTCCAAAGCAAGCAGTCAGGGTCAGTTAGGACCAGGATCTCACAGATGTTCATGCTACACATCTGGCAGCACCACTGGTTGCTGTTTGTGTGCTCAGGGAGCCAACCAGCTCCCTAACAAAGCAGGGCTAAGAACTGGTCTCTTTTAATTAGCATCACAAAACAGGATTCAGGAAAAGACAGCACAGGATAGAGGAAATCACTCCTGCTACTTGCAGGAGCCGTTTCAGAGCAAGCTGGTAGAGCAGGGCTACTGGTATAGACAAAATATTTAASTTCTCTCTTCCTGTTTCACCTTTAGATTGACATAAGTCAGGGAAAGAAGCAGACAGACATATACAACAGAATTTTAGATTAAAAGCAACATACCTGTTTGGTTTCAAAGTTCACAAAACAGTAACCCCTCGGCTGTCCCTCCAGAGCACCAGACTTGTGAAAGAGAAAGTCAAATTGCTTGACTTTGCCAAACTTCTGAAGGAGTTTGAGAAGGTGGTATCTGAGGAGGAAAGAGACATTTATGGCACCCTCCCTTAAGGTGGAAGCAGGGAGATTGAAAAGACGCCCCCACACACACACGTTTCATGTTCAGTCACGGGAGCAGTTTTCTGTGACACTTGTGCTCTCCTGAACCTGCAGAGCTGCTGGAGMCCTCAGCGCCCACAGCTCCGCGCTGCCTTGAGGCACAGAGCCTTCCTCCCAGCAATGCCAGCTCAAGGGCACAGAGCAGCAGATCTATTAATAGGTGGCTTTGGAGAATTATGCAATGCCTCCCCAAGGCTTTGGGAGGACTTTGCCTCTTGCCTTTCTTAATTACACCCAGKTAAAGCCTGAAACGTTTCCCTTCTCTCTCCCCAGTGAGAAGCTCTGTCTCCTCTCCCTGGAGCAGCAGCCACAGCCTCCGGCCCTGGCTCGGCATCCCTGCTACTGCAGCTGCTGCTCCACTCCCCATCCCAGCACAGCCAGTCCCATCCCTTCTCCGTGGCAAGCACAGATCACACACAAATGCAGAAACTCTCCTTGCTTGGCCCAGCTGGGCAAGCAGAAAGACGTGGGTAAAAGAAAGTATGAGAACAAACTGCAACTAGGAAGCAGCAGCAGACCAGGTATAAAAGACGCCAGGGAGGTCCCAGCATCACCCCAGCAGAAATCTAACAGTGCTCTGGCTCAGGCAGCACTTGGCTGACGTGCCGCAGAGCTTCTCCCCCTGATTAGCTGCACAGCTTTAGGAAGCCTCTCAGCCTGATTTCCAGCTTGCAGAACGAGACGTACACTCAGGGCTTGGAAAGCTCAGCAGATTGCATACAGGCCAGGTAGGCACTGGAAAAAAACAGTGTGTCTGTCCAAAAATGAAAGATTAGTAACGTGCCAAGGTGTCCAAAGCACCAGGGAATTGTAGTRAGGACCCAAATGGGAAGGGCAGACCACATTTTTCCCTAATAAAGCCGGGTAGGATGTTCGAAGTGGGCTGCAGCTCTTTGTTAAGCTTCAGGAGGCAGGCAAGAAAGTTCCAGGAATGTGAGTCATCCCACAGGATGGGTCACCGTGGACATTCAGGATATGCACTTTTACAGAGGTGAAGGTGCAGCTCGCGTTCAGACTAGCAACACAGAAGGGCCAAGTTATTGCCCAGGGGAACAAGCACATGGAAATTGATTATGGAAAGTTTCCTACAGCCTTCAGGACAGCACGAGCACTGAGGCATCAGGGCATCCCAGGAGTCCTACGAACCCTCAGCCCCTGTTCGGAAGGCAAGAGACAGGAATACAAGAGAGGAGAAGGGAGACAGTTACACAATAAACCAACTTTCAAACCACCACTACTCAAACTACCTACAAGAGGCACATGTGAAAACATCAATTTTGGACATGTGTGATATATATAACACAAAATCCCACATGCTGGATTTCCAGAGCCTCCACACTACAGAAGCCCATCTCCTATCTGTTTCTAAAATGACACTGCTACCAAAAGCAACTTGCTATTTCAGCAATATGAAAATAAAGCCCTTAACGCTAGAATGAAGGGTTGTTCTTCTCCTGTGGCAATTAGAGTCAGTGGAAGGGCAATGACGATTCTCATTATATTTGTTTAGCAACAACAACAAAAAATCTGCAGATACCACGTCAAAAGGAACACTTTGTTTTTCTTCTGAGAACCTCTGCATTCAAATAATAACATTTATTTTACTTTCTTGGCAGGAAGCGATAGCCATTCCTTCAAGAAAAAAAAATCATTTAAGAAGTCCAGCAGCCATCTGTGCAAGGTCGACTATTTAATCTTTAGATTCTGGTTGATGCAAACAACTCTTAAACATGCACGTAATTTCTACAACTGCAAGCTGTCTACTGGATGAGAGAGAGCTCAGGACCGAAGTCTCATATAAATAAGAATTTCAAGCTTTGATTAGGATTTGTTACAGTTAATACAGTGAGGAGTATTAACAGTTATTTGGCAAGCAGTTCTCCACACTAAGAGTGCTTCAGAATTGAAGGAAGATTTGTCATGGAAAAGCCAAAGTCTTTAAGGAAAAAAAAAAAGGTGCGAACATGTGTAAAAGCTTTTTCTATGGCAAGGATGGGGGCCTCGGAGGCCCGAGTCACCGCACAGATGTGGCTGCACGGAGCACTGCAGCCAACCTCMATTTCCACTTCCTGTCATCTGATGTGAATGCGAGACAAACCAGCAGCTCCCCCGTTTCCTTTTCCTCCAGTCTTCCTCCTGGCACCCTGCGTGCTATTCAAACGCAGGCAAGGCTTCCTCTCAACAATGCTGTCCCAAGGATACCGAAAAGGTACCGGACCACATGCTAAACCTATTATTGCTAAGAATTTTGCCCCACTGGGAGCCCAGAGGAGTCTGTAACAACAAGTTATGCACACATTGTTTTCTAGGTGAGACTCATCAAGATGGGATGCTAGACAAGCGGCAGCGCAGCACGGAAGGGGAACATGCACCATTTGATACACGGGGAAAACGCAGTGTCATTCAAAGTGCACTGAAAATCGTTTTATAGGAATGCAGCTGTTCATTGCTGAAAATGCAATATTTTTTGGACTGGCAAATATTTTTTAAAAATCGCAGAGGCTTTGTCAACAGGAACCTGCAAGGCAGGCAGCTCCTTAGCTTACAMGGTGGGAGACGGATGTAACTAAAGTCAGGGATTTTGTTATCACTGAGCTCCATCAAGAAGAGATGAGAACAGAACTGCTGTGTCACGGCAGCACGGCCAGGGGACAAGCACCGCACCAAGCAAGGGCCACGGGAGCCTGCCTGGCCTCCTCCTGCAGCGCTGGGGCCATCCCTGGAGCAGGGATCACRCAGCCTGGAGATCGTGTCCCGCAGCAGGAGCGGCTGCTGCAACCCCGCTCGCCTCCTTCCAGCTCCTAGGAACACACTCAGCCAAGGCCTAACATCATCTCTTTCCCCTAAGGAAAGAAATCCTATAAGGATTATAAGGATACTAGAGAGAGAAARAAAAAGAAAAAAGAAAAAAAGACAAGTCATCCAAGTAAACACTGCTGGTAAGCGAGGAGGAAGGAGCAGCAGCCCTGTCGTACCCGATACGTAGGATATGTCTGCATCCGAGATGCTTTGAGACCCCCATTTGAGTCACTGCTACTCAGTACGTGCAATAACCTCCTGTAAGGCATCAACTCGCAGGCTGTAATTTGTGGGCAGCCCTACATTTATAAACTCCTAGCACTGCAGCTTGTGCTCAAACGTGTATGTTACCTATTAACTTTCTAGCGCTTGATTGCGGCTATAGGTTGCTCTCTAAATGCAAGTCTTGGATTAATTCAAGACTTTCTGAATACACTGCTGCTCGACAAAGTCACAACCAGTTATTAAGCCTGCTAACAACTCAATCAACTTGACTCGCTCTTAAACAAAGCTAGCGCAGAAATCATAGGGGTAGCCCTCTAAAATCAGATAAAAGCAGCAAATAAAGAAACAACTATTTACTTTTCAGGTATTTTCCTTTTAATCCTGTGATTGGTATACTCAACTGACATAATTCAGATGAGCAAGTATGCAAGCCCCTACAATACGAAAGTAATGGTTAGGCTGATTTTATAAAAACTTACTCATCTGATATTGAAATGTGCCCTTTTTTTGTCTACACTGGCAAAGTTCTAAAAGGAAATTTCCTTTCATTTTTTCTTTGCAAAGAAGGAGAAGCTACAGTATAGTTTTCAGGAGAAAACTGGGCTTTTTTAAAAGCAAAAATCAAAATAAGACTAGATTTTTTTCTAGATTTTATGGCACCAGAGAAAGAAGCCCTGAAAAGAGCTCCTCGCCCCTTCCCTATGGGCACAACAGTAACAGCGAGGGCACCAGCTGTGCCTGACGCCCACACTGCTGAACTCACCYGATCACATTAGATTACTTGAAAAGCAACAGCCTGACCAGGCAAGAAGGGCACGGAACCCCACAAAACCCTGTTCATCCAGGCCACGAAAACAATTAATTTCTGCCATATAAAGCTACTAGTCACCTGGACTAGATTCAGAGGAATGACCTAGACTGAAAGGGTCTTTTAGACGTGAAATTAGAGACCATGCTGGGAAGAGAATCCTAAATCCAATCCTTTTACAGGCATCCACTACCCCACCCCTCACACGAACCCCGTTTCCCGAATCTTTAAGAACATTACAAATCCTGTCTTTGAGATGCCCTGTATCTAATTCCACGTGGTCAGTGAACATGGACAAACCAGAGTAACATTGCTGTGGGATAAAAATGGTAATTAATGCAGAAACCACCCAAAGCTGAATGGCTGGAAAGCACAATACATTAATGATTCCATTTGGAGCCTATTAGGAAATTGGTTTGTGGAGATGCACCGYGTTTAGAATAAAAACCTAGCACCTGCACGCGCACAAAAAGCAGCAGGAGGARGAAGTATTCCATGACAGGCACGTACAATAGTTAATCAAAAATGCTTGTTTCTGAGAAGTGTATAAACCCTCCTCCCCCTTGTTTTTGTAAGGCCTAGTTATTTCACCACGCACGATCCAAATATTGGACAAGAGTTGGTGTTTCCTCGATCACTCCTCTGTCCTGACGTTTTCTTTGCTCAGGAGATGGTTATTTACGGGGGGGAGGCCCAGGGCCCCCCCGCACAGCCCGGCTTCGTGTCCTCGCCCCGGGGGGCCCAGCGGCCCCGCTGCCCACCCAGCTCCTGCTCTTCAGGTAGCTCCTCCGCTCACCCCGTAGTGCCGACACGAGGGAAACAGCAACATTTGGGGCTTTCGGGGGCTCCTGGTCACCCCCGAGCGCCGGCATCGCGCTGCTTTGGGTCAGAAAAGGCGTTTTCCTCCTTTGGGCGTCAGGCCGGAGGGGCCTGGCAGGAGAGCGGGCCTGAGCGAGGGCCGCGGAGCGCCGCGGGGCCCTGAGCGGGGCCCGGCC